GGTCCTAGTTCTCCTTCTCCTGGTCCTAGTTCTCCTTCTCCTGGTCCTAGTTCTCCTTCTCCTGGTCCTAGTTCTCCTTCTCCTGGTCCTAGTTCTCCGTCTTCTACCTGATGGCTTACCACCGAAGAAATCGAGCACGCTTATAAAGAAATAAAAGGAGAAGGGGGATTAATTCTGTTTGAAGTATCTCAGGCTCACACTATTAAATTAAATAAAGATTATGTAGGTTTCTTAGACCATAGTACTATTACAGAGTGAAAAAATGCTGAAATTATTTTTTTGCCAGTCAATAACTCTTCTACCTCAGCAGGCGGCGGCCATTGGTCGCTTCTGGCTTACAAAAAAGGCGGAACTTTCTATTATTATGATTCCATGGGTAGTTCCAACCTTTCTTCCGCCCAAACTCTAGCCAATAATTTTTTGAAGTGTTTAAAGATTAGTGGAGAAGCAAAGTTAAACCAAACTTCCTGCCCTCAACAACCTAATGGTTATGATTGTGGAGTTTATACCATTATTTTTACTCGCAGTTTAGTGGAAAAGTACAAAAAAGATAAATCAGCAATCGCCAACAATAACTTTTGAGAAATAAAAACAGAAGATTTTGTTTTTTCTCCCCAAGAGGAAAGAAATAGATTAATAAAGGCTGGTTTTCCAAAAAAAAGTTCAGGATCTCCTGATGCTAGCGAAGATAACGTCAGTGATGAAGATACAATTTATTTTGAAAGTGAAGAAGACAGAATTTCTCACTGGTGAGGAAGCCCCGATACGCCTATTAGAAAATATGTAAATAATAATTTTTCAGGATTATTTAACAGTGCTGATAATTTTAAAGAATTCAGCAAAAAAGTTCGCAAATTAAGTGCTAGAACCAAAACACAACTTGGAGGGGAAAATTTGAAAAAAATACTCCGAATAAAGAGGATACTAAAAATTTGTAGCGACCCCGCTGGAGATTTTGGTGGAAAAGTAAATGAGGAATACGTTAGAGAAAGTATAAAACAAGAAATAGTGAATGAAATTAACAAATTATATACAACATGATGCAGTAATTAATTATTGCCTGTTTCACTGCCTCCTTTGTCATGATTCTCTTTACAAAATAACTCATTATATTTACTCCTATCAAATAAAAACATTCATAATAACCAAACCAAGGCTACCAATATAATTATTTTCACCAAAGTTTTGAAAATTTTGGCAACAATATAAGAAAGAAGATAAATTATGATAATGGTGAGTAAAAAGGCTACTAAATGGTGAGCCTTGATTTTTTGAGTATCTTCAAACAAAAATTTCCACCCCTCTTTTACTCAATCTTTAATCATGTTAAGATAATAGCCCACACTTT